AACAATTTTATTCTAAATAATAATTAAAATATGTAAATAAATACTTAAATAATGCTACTTATTTATCTTTTATCTAAACTTTTATTGGTAAAGTTAATTTTTCAAGATTTTAAATAACCAAAATTAATTTAATATTTTAGTCCTGAATTATATTATAAATCACGATACTAATAAAAAAGCAGTTATTTAAATTATTGTATAAATAATAAGGTCATAAATAAATAAAATGTTTACTTATTTTTAAGTGATATTAAATATTAAAAACAAAATTAAATTTAGTTACTTTTTTAGCTATTTTAAAAATACTTAAATAACGGCGTTTTTAACCCCTAAAAAACAAAGTATTATTATATTAGTTAATAGAATTTAAATTAATATATCATTTCAACTTTTTTATTAACAGTTTTATTCGAAAACACTGATTTGTCAAATCAAAAATGTATTTCTATAATTTCATTATTATATATCTAGCAATTAGTATTTCAAACGGTTTTCTTTTTAAAGATCCACCATTGAATAAGGTAAACACAATATTATTTAATTTTGAATAAAAATTAGTTATTAAATGTTTTCTAAGTAGAAATTTTCATTTTTAGGAATATCTAAATATTTATTCAGATATACATTATTTTTATTTTATCTTACTTAGTTATAAGATTTTCCGAAAAAAAACTTTTTTGTACATAAATCACTTTGCTATACTATGCATCAATTTGAATTCAAATTTACTTTATGCATTCAAAAGTTGTTACAGTTTTATTTAAGGAACAAAATTTCATAAAAATATTTAATAATAGTATAAATTTTTTTATACTATTATATTAATACATTGTCTGTTGATTTATTATATTGTTATATTCGGCAAAGTCCGTTTTTGTGGCATATATATATATATATTATTATTTTAGGTCATTCCGATATATTACGTTATGGCATATATGAATTATTTNATTTTAGGTCATTCCGATATATTACGTTATGGCATATATGAATTATTTTTGAAAACTATGGCTTACATATAATGTTAATTTTAATTAACTACTTTATTTAAAACTTATAGCTTATTATTATTATTCCGTTCAACTAGATCGACATTAAATTTCTGTAAACCCTTATTGAAAGGTTATATATATAATTTTTATTTGATGTTTTAAAAATATTTTAAATTGAATATGAGCATAATAAATATTTTCAAATCATTTTTTTTTTTAAACTTTCTCATTAGAGTTGAAGAAATATCTTTTGTAAACGTTTTTATTGTTTGCTTCATAATAAACATCATGAACCACCTGTATAATAAACATATCGAATGGCTTCTGTTAGTGTCCTTAATATCGGGCAGCATTTTCGGTCAACGGAGGGAATTATTTTTATTTCACGATTCTATTATTTAATTAGAAGTTTTGTTTTTTTTCTACTTTTTTTGTTAATACGATTACCAACGACTTTACTTTAGCATGACGTCAGCGCTGAATATATGTTATTTAACTATTTTTAATATCTGATACGTTATAACTACATACAGTTGCTTAACAGAAAACTTCATATATTTATTTTAAATTTATTTACATCTCTAACATATAGTTAAAAAGCCTTATAACATAAATCATATAAAAAGTTATTTTAGGCACTATCATTAAAAATTAAAAAATATTTTAGTAATTAAATTTAACTACATGGCTCTAACGATCTCAGTGGCAGCAAGTACAATATCTCGACTGAATGGTCGAGTCAGTATTGAAGGAATAATTTTAATAACTCTCTTAAACTCCAAAAATAATAATTATAATAGTAAACACCAAAATAAACATCAATAAACAACTAATAAAGTATTACTATGAGTATATATATTTTTTTTTTTAACAAAAACCATAATTTTCTAGCTAGGCTTTTCTTTTTCTTTATTTTTTTTTCAATAAATATATGTATATATACAATATGCATATATACAATATACAATATGTATATATACATATACATATACAATATGAATATGTAACCAATTCAAATTTTTTTTTTTTTTTCAATTGTTATATTCTAAACACTTTTGGTAATAGTAACAGACCAAGTACTACAGTATAATTATTTGTTGATATACAATTAAAATTTTCAGTATATTAACTAAAGTAAAATGTATTTATTAATGGGTATGTTTCACCTATTTCGGCGCAAACTAATGCCTATTTCGGCTCTTTAGCTGCCATACACCTAGTCTATTTCGACTTTTTTTTTTTTTTTTTACATTTACCAAATTATTACCGAAT